TCACGTCAATCGTTGCATTTACGAGATCGTACGACTTTTTTGCCCGTCTCACATTCAACGACTGCTCCATCTGCGCGAGCATGCAGAAATGTTTCAGAACTAACTACACGGGGCAAAATAGGTGTCCTAAATACACAAATGGGGTGTTGAGCTCTTTTAAAGGCAATGTCTAGGAAAAACTTGGTTGAGACGGAATATGAATATGGGACAGGACACTCAGTAATGGACCATTGAGAAAGAAAAAAGTAACTGTAGGATATGTGCGATAGATAATCCTAGTTTAGGGACGTACGAGTTGTGAGGAATACAGAGATGTAGTGACGGTGTGTTCTGGGCGAAGGGGACCGGAACGATCAGGGCTGGACCAGCTGCTTTGAAACGCTGCCGACAGTCATTAGAAGATAGAGCGGATAATTCGCAGAAGATCATAGCTGAGGTGAGTTATTGTTAGGGCACTTTTTGAAAGGTAACTATTGTAAACTGTTTTTCCAGTAACCACAGCATCCTCGTTATGTTTTCAAATTTTTCGTTCCCATACAAAGCCTGCCCTAACACTATTTCTGATAAGCAAATTAACAGCTTTCATTATTATAATAAGAAGAAACTTAATACCATTGATTCAAAAGTGAGAAAGTTTGTCAAGAATTGTTATATTGCAACTTCAGAATGAAAAGAAAACTGGAAATCTTGTGTTGTACATAGTTCCAGGAACTTTCGCCACGAGTTCGACTTTATGGCAGTCAAAAATTACGACCTGCACTTTATTACCTTTGTTCTAAGACAATAAAAGCCGAAACAAATGGAAAACGAAACGCTAAAAGTCCAGAGAAAAAGGGAGGCAAAGGCCGCCAAAGGCTTTTTAAGCGATTCCAGTAACATCAGCGGAAACATTAAAACCCTTTGTGTTTAACTGCATAAAACCAAAGACCAAATCGATCTGTAATTGTTGATTTAGCGGAGTTCGGGTGTTTGCATTGAATTTCACCGAATGTCACGCCTGTGGAAGCGTTGCGGTCAGCGAGCGCAGTGAAAATGGAGCGCGGCAGTTGT